GTTGATTTACTTTCCTGCGTAATACAAATATGGAAGTAAAACTTTAAAAATTTTGAGTCTAGTCAAATTCTCACTCTTTTTGCTAAGTTTAAGTGGGTGCAGTCTCCTAATTTTATTTTGTTCGTTTTACAAAACGTATAAAAATAAGTTGCTAAATTTGAACCTTAATGAAAATTGAGTATAAACATGTTAAAAGTATAGTGCGCCGTAAGATGAGATGAATAATAGAAAATGTTATCATAAAAATGAAAAATACACCTTCATGTATACATAGTTCTTCCTGTGTGTCAGTGAAATAAACATCTAAATCTACATAGTGTGTCTTTTCTTTTGAACATAAGAGAAAAATTTAATACAAAATAGCAGCTTCGATGCAGGAGACGAGAATGAGAGTGAGACAATGACAGATCAGAGCCAAGACATTAAAAAATGACTGAATAAAGGCTAGGCACTGTGGTTAACTAGCTAAAAGCACGAGGTAGGTAATAACAAAAAGTCCTATAAGAATAGTTGTGACACTCCATGGTAAGTAAGTCGCAGGAGGTGCAGCATTGTCTTTCTATACAGCTGTACTTGGTAAAAGTGGGCATGAACTGCCACGCTAAGAAGGGATCATATGCAAGCAAGAAGACGAGAGACTGATCACAGGTGCCAGATTCTGATCTAAGTAGCCAAGCCTTTTATCACCCTCACTCTGTCTCTCTTTCTTTCTATTTCTTGTGTGTGTACATAGTAACATATACTCAACCTCCAGTACATAGTTGTTTATGTGAAGCATTCCATCTAAGCTTTCTGAAACTCTTGAGCCCCCTACAACATTTTATTATTTACTACTACAAAGAATTTATTATTCTCTCCTTTGTTTTAGATAAGCTCACTTTTTCTCTCGATTTTGCCACCTCACTACACCCTCCCCATACTATCTACAGCTCCCAGTAACCAACCACATATCCCCTCCACAAAATTTTTCTTGACCCCAACCAATTTCTTCGTTTCTGTCACTATTTTTGTGGAGTCTTAACTAAAATTTACTAATAATATTGAGCTCTAATTTGTTTTTACGCACAAATACGTTACGTTTACATAAGATTTTTAATCAATTTTATTAGCCAACCAAATAGAATATAAGCTTTTAAAGTAAGCTAATACTTACATGCACATACTTAGTGGACATTATTTTCTGTAGTTATATATAAACTAGTAAGGCTTCGCCTTCTGCTCGTACTGCGTACCCACCCCCCATTAACAGAGTAAAGAAGTAGTATCAGCAGTAAGTTGCTTAGCTAGAGGTGCTTGTGTTGTTCAACCTATTCTTATTTGTTTAAATTAAATTGGTTAAAAAAAATTACTTAGAGTCAGCTTAGCAGATTTAAATCATGTTACTGTACGTTTTTAATCCTCTTGTAGGCTTAGTCCACTGACTTTTTATTAACAGTTTGTACTTGAGTTCAGAAACATTATATTCGATACATTCACCTTTTATATGCTGAAATCCCATAGCGATACGTAAATGTTAAGGGCTGAATGTACATTTACTTTTTTATTAAAATTATTTTTTGGGAGTTAAAATAAATATTATCTTCAGGAAAGTAGTAACCTATAACTTTACTATAGAATTATGAAAATGTCGTTTACCACATGCATATGTTCTCATAATACTACAATCGAACAATTAAATAACTTTACCTGAATATAATAGTGCAATTATATCAACTACGATACTTTCAAATAATGAGAAACATATCATATTTGTTATGAAACACATACTTCACGGTCCTCACACTAAGAAACCCCATGTTTTAGTACATCTAATAACAAATGTATCAAAAATTTTGCTAAGCCATTCGCTCGCTTTACATCGTTAAAAAAGTGGTTATTCCGAACGTATTAGAAGTGATAATATTTTAAACAATAACTCACATAAGACAAAAAATAAACATAAAATCACAGTTGACAATGGTTGTACCGTAAAGTCAATCTTTATAATAAAATAAAAATGCCACTTAAATATTAAATATCGTGCATCTATTTAAAGCATAACATACAGATACAAGGTTGTAAGTCTCGCTGTGCACCTTAAGAATAAACAAAAACTGATTTTCGAAAAATATAAAATTAGGAAGATAATGAAAATATGAAAAACGCATTTGACAGCTTGGTTTGAATAAAACAAAATAAATAATCTAAAAAAAATCTTTAAGGTNCTGTAGGTAGATTCAATACAGTTTTATCAAAAGATCGTGAACGACTCTTTTTTCAATTTATATTGAATAACAAAAATTAAAAAAAACTTCATTAATACATTTAAAAGTATGTAAAAATATGAAATATTAAACGTTCAAAGACACTGCGATTGCCATGGGTTTAATCAAATATGATTTACTGATTGACGATATTTTTCAATAAGCTAGTACTTGCATGCTTTTTTATCAATTAAGAAAATTTGTTGCACTGCTTTTAATATTGGAGAATATACAAAGTAAAAGAATTTGGAGTAAGTATACAAACACTTTTTTCTAAAAATTTTATTTATGATAAGAAAAATATGCTCTTCTACTCATCAACAAAATTTTTGAACTTAAAAAAAAATTATGCAAATTATTTAATTTATCTGTACTGTTTAGAATCAATCTACAAAACAATAGGGACGCAAAGAAAGTTGCATTGCGTAAAAATACGTTTAATTCGTTGTATGCTCAGCTAAACAATTAACAAAAAATATTTTTAAAATTGTATGTAAAAATGTTAAAAAGATTTTTCTAAATAGATGGTCTTGAAGGATAAGAAAAAACCTTTTTTATTTAAAAATATGAATTTATTACTTTATATTACAAGGAAAAAAATTTCGTCGATAACAAGAAATAGCAGTGCGTCAGAACTACTACTACAAGGTTTCATTAGTCATTGAAATTTTCGCTTACATTTGAATTTTAATAGAATTGAGCTTGCATTTTTTAAGATCAAATTCAAGAAAAAGACATAACGTCAAATTGATTTGATGATTTGGGATAAGACTTCGATAATTCTGAAAAAAGCTTTAGACACAGTAGACAAAACCTTGTGTGATATATGCAACACACAAACATTTTAAAAATTGATTAACAATTTTGGGAGAAGATTTCCTTCCATCGTTTCCTGTTATCAAAATGGTAATGCAATCATGGTTAAATCAAAAACAATTAAGTCATCGTTTCTCTAACGTTTGTAACGGTGCGTTTTCTCGCCCTGCAACACGTAGTCTGTTACGGTCACGGCAGTCCCGAAGCAATGCACAAAGACACTCAAATTCTCACCGATGGCTGCACTGGAAACGACGCGAGTGGCACTGCACCTAAAACGCGAAAATACCACCACTTAATGACGTTCGCGGCTTGTCAGAACTCAGCTCGGCTCCTGGAGACTCTCACCTAAATCGAGTATCTGACTCTTTCTTTCCTTGCATCTATATTGAGATCCAAATAATCTGGCTACCTTGGTGCTAGGTTTCAATTAAGACCTTGCCAAAAACCTGGTTCCAGGTATGCCTTAAATCTTGATCTCTTGCTACCAACTTGTCAACTTGACTACTTACGAGGTGCTTTCAACTACGACAGTGTAAAGTTGTGGAATAACATGCCCTTGCATGTGCGTGAGATGCACCGGCGGCTGTGTTTCAGGCAGGCACTATATGTCCACTATGATAATAATTTGGAAAACTGCAAATAGTTGTGGGCTCGTCTGCAAACGATCTAGTCCTTAATATTTGTTATGTTCTTTTTTTTTGTTTCTCTCATTTCGTCTCTTTTTTTTTATTATATATTGTATTGTATTTTCGATCGCTACAGGGCATGAAAACTGTAGTCCTGTTAAAGCTATGCGTATTGTAATTTGTAATATTACTTACCAACTAATAAGTCCACTGAACCCTGCTCCATAAATCCTTATCCATATTAATAAATAAACTCAATAAACTCAAACCTAGAGGAAGTCCCGCCAGGGGTAGCCCGTCGGGAAGAAAGTTACTCTCCTAAGGAAAAACGAGTCACACGACCTGAAAGAAGACGCCGTCTGGAAATGGTAAACAAATAATGACACAAAAGGCAGGTTTCTCGGATTGTTAAGATCACTTTATTCGGTACTACAATTATGCGGGTGTATAGGCCTGAAAAATCTGTCACAATCCGGTGCTACGCCACGGCACGATATCCAACAATCACGCTTCTCTCTCACCTGCTCTTGCTCTAACGACCTCTTCGACACATGATCCCAGAAGCTGGTTCCCACAGTTTGCCCTGGCTACACGTGGCCGATACACATACACATACGCGCTCCTATGGAGGGCGGCGGAGGTTAGTATGCAGGCAATGGACTCAGGTGTGGACGAGGGTTACCATGGAAACCTACCACCTCACGCTATAAGAACTGACAGTGACTTTCAGAGCAGTGAGGGCAAGTATTCAGATCCAACTCTTGGCACCCGCAGTTCCGACAGAACCTTCAGACGAGTGGCGCCCGGCCGTCCCCTAAATTATGCCCTCTTTCCCAGCAAGCAAAGCATGTTCACGATAAAGGGTCGTTGCGTGGATCAGTCAGAATCTTCCGGACATTAAAAAACATCACGCCTCTGGTCTTAATAGGTAGGAATCTGTCTCGTATAGGGCGAGCTCAAGAGAGCCAATCCGCATCCTCTAAGAGCTCACGCGCTTTCTCTTTGCAGTTCTACGCAGTAGGGTTGAGACTCTCCCCGAGACTGCAGGGGCACTTTGGGTCGTAGGAGGCAGCTGGTCTCCCGGGGCTCCTCTAAATCCCACTCCAACGGTGTAGCCCTGTCTGTGGCTGTGAGTACCTCCTCTGGCCATAGGTAGTGAACCCGGGGGGAGAAACCGCCAGGGGAGTGTTCCAATTGTCTTAAGTGTTCCAACGGGGCGGAAAGTGAAAGCGGGCGGGGTTCGAGCTGATTTACCTAAGACCCAGCCTCTTCCACTGGGTCACGTCGAGAGGGTGAGTTCGGAAACTCGTAGTTATTGGTCATAGTCATTGTAGTCAATATCCATTGACGTAACGGTTTTTCTTTTGGCATGCTCTGTGTAAGTCACTGCATTGCGAATGACTTTTTTAAGAAATACCTTAAATTTACCACGGGTTTCTTCATTGATGAGACCGGAGATTCTCTTGACTCCACCAGGACAAGCCAAACGGCGAATAGCAGGCTTAGTGATACCCTGGATATTGTCGCACAAGACCTTGCGATGATGCTTGGATCCACCTTTTCCCAGACCTTTACCTCCCTTACCGTGGCCGGTCATTGTGGAATTGGATACAGGTGCGATGCAATATTCAGACAGTTCTAATTCTCAACTGCATACATCAAGATTCTCAATGTATGCAGTGTATACTTCGAGATTCTCGATGTCACCACTGTCGATACCGGATTTCAGTATGTATACTATCTTGCGTGTACCTGCAGGTAGCATGAAAGCAAAAGCTGCTCGTGAAAGTCGTGGTTGACTTGAAACATTTGTCGAGGTTGTTTGTTTTGACATTGCAACATATGTTGTTTTTTAAGGATACATGTGTGCAATACTCTACTACAGCGTGGAGGACTATGTTTTCTTGTTTTAAGCGTCTGCCTTTGAAAGAAGCAGGTTCGGATATTACAAAGTAATTTAGTAATACGTTTTACAGTAGTGAGCGATTAATGCTGTGTATCGTGCGTATAATGTCGGTAATTAGCTGTTGGCACAGTATAAAATCTTGCGAGTTCGTAAAGCAGTTTATTTCATTTTTTGATTAGAAAGTTGTGTACAATTTTTGTTTTTTTTATTGGCACTTGCATTTATTATTGCATTTATTGAAGAATATTTTGGTACTAGAGCCCTAATTATGTCTTCCAGTGCAAATGAAAATTGGAAGGGAAAATGAAAAAAGAGTTAATTCATTTTTGTTATAGCGTGGATAGTAGATCCTTTGTTTCAAGATTGACTTTTACATAATAGTTTAAATGTTGATAAACCTGCTCGTTATTTTTCTTGTAGTATTAACATCACGTGCTATTACAGGCAAGATTTGGTCAAGCACGTTGCAACAGAAAACATTAAACGAGGGCAAATATTAAAAAACAAAAAGTAATACCCCATAATGATTCTTTTATTGATAAAATAATTTTTCAAGTTAAAGAGTTCCAATTAAAAATAGCTCTCTTCATAGCTGAACATAACAAGCCAATTCACTTTGTAAATAACTTGATATTTTTTGTACAGGAGCTCTGCAAAAAATCAATAATTGTGGAGCAAATGGGCATAAGAAGGGACAAGTGTGCAAGATTAATAAAAAATAATTTGAGCGCCTGTAAATTTAATAAACTAGTGAGTACTTTTAAAAATCAAAGATTTTTCATTTAAGTCCATAAATTGACAGATATTACATTAAAAGAAGTTTTCTTGCTTTGTGATTTTGAAGTGAAACTTCTTAAGGCGCGCCTCATATGAAGAGTTAACCCGTAAAATGAGCGAGCAAACTCTGCACATATGTATTTATATATATTATCTGTACGTATACCATCTGCTCTTCAGGCAGGGGTTCTGTTTGTCTGTCTATCTTCCTCTCTCTCCATCCCTCTTGCATGCGCACAATAAAGCGCCGCAATTACTCTATCTATAAATATGATATAGCTTTTCTCTTTCTATTATATATATATATAGTAGATATTTAGTCGATCCAAAAAATCACCAGCGTAAGCGAACGGAAAAATTGTCGAGCGGTCACCCATTCAACCACCAACCACGGCCAACTCTGCTGAACTTTCCAAATTGACGAGACTGCAACTCTACCACTGTGCCACCATGTCGGTAGTTGGCGTACCTACTAACACATAGTACGAATGGTAACGTGGCTGTTAAATGGGCAAATCTATGCGTCTGTTATAGCTGGAGTACTGTCAGGTAAATATTGTCTGACAGAAAACATCACTTGGTCTCTTTGAAGTCTTCAAAAAACATGGTAAAAATCGTTATTTTTTTCTCTTTATTTTTTTGTATGTATATAAGTATATAAAAAAACGTACGTAAGATATAAAATATGTATAATACGACAACTAAACTTTTGCAAATAAGAATAAGCCTTGTATCTCCAAAGAGAAGCCAAATTGGCCAAAAATAACAATTTCTACGGAAGAAGTTTCCAAAAGGAGTGCTATATGATCAACGCGCATAAATGAAGAGAGGTTAGACTATCAATAAAAATAACTTTAAATTTTCAATTTTTCGACTGTTACTTTAAAAGAAAAAGTCAAAAAAAATTTTTCATCTAGTGTAGCATGTTTAAAACATTAATATGGACGTTGACAAAAGCTTTGAGGAATTTTTGTTACAACATTACCTTGCAAAATTAGAAAAATAGTCGTATCTTGAGAAAGAAGCCAGGTAGGCCAAAGCTTCACTCATCAAAAACTTTTATTGAGTTGCAAAAATATGTTGAGCAGATTTATACAAGTAATCGTAATAATTTAGAAAAAACTCACATAAGACAAAAAATAAACATAAAAAAACAGTTGACAATGGTTGTACCGTAAAGTA